ACACACACACACACACACACACACACACACACACACACATATATATATATATATATATATATATATATATATATATATATATATATATATATATATATATAATATATATATATATATATATATATATATATATATATATATATATACATATATATATATATATATATATATATATATATATATATATGTATATATATATATATATATATATATATATATATATATATATATATATATATATATATGTACACATATATATAGGTAAATACATATGCGTATACATGCACACACCCAAACGCAGACACACATTTCCCCGTACACAGTAATTATGCCTGCATGTTGACAGCCCAAGGACTGAAGGGAAACAGCCACCGAGAGTGAAAGGGAAGAAGATTGTAAACTTGCTTATTCATTCCATTAGTCTTGTTAGGATGCGCACCCATGTACTGCCAGCATCTCCACACTTAACTGGAAATACATTTTTCTTTTTTTTTTCTTTTCTATTCTTATATTTCCTTTTCTGTATATGTGTGTGATTATTCTGTCTTTTCTTTTTGAGGGGGTTATATATATATATTTTTTTTTTTCAATTGTGGTATTTACATGTTATGTACATGCCAATAAATGCTGCAGTTGAATGTGGCAAGACCTACCGTTATATTCCCAAACCCCCCAAATCAATTCTCAGATCTCATGCGTATCCATGGAATATTCAAAGTCACACACTCAGCCTATTTTTCTAAAGGAATCCTATCAATTCTATCAACATAAGAAAACGCACGCTAGGCAACGCAACATTCTTCCACGGTCAGGAATTTCAAAACGTTTCTGGTTCTCGCTTCCGCATGTTAATCGATAAAAATAGACACACCCTCACTCGAATCCAGCCATCTACATCTGGTGAGTCAATATTGATTTCCATCGACCCATTAATGAGTCACAGATGTATTTATAGCATTGAGAAATGATGATGGTGAAGATGATGAGTACGTACGATAAGGTACGTGTCAATTCTCTTCAAAGTGGGTTAAGAATTTATATCGTTCTTTTTAATTTTTTTATGTTTTTTTTTTTTTTTTTTTTTTTTTTTTTTACTTTCTTGTTGCGAATTGCAAAGAAGTTGGAGACGATGTCAAAATGCTGATTAGAGAATGTTTGCATGGTTTGTGAGAGAATATTGTGTTTAATTTTAAAACGTCTAGGGAGTGACAGCATCATCTTAAATAGCGTGACTTTTTTTTAACAATATGATGCAAGAATTCTCTGCACTAGAATATTACGAAATTATTTTAGGTCATACTTAAGGAGAACAAGGAAACATAAAAAATGCCAATAATATTGAGAATTCTAAACACGCGAATGGAAAGATTATGGTTAAAAAGTTAAATGTAAAAGTTAGGGAAATACATCATATGAAATAACAAAAATGTTTCTTAAAAGTGTAATCACAAATTGAAAAAGAAATGATGATACTAAACTACGGAGAAATAAACATGATCTTTTACAGAGGAAAAAATAATTGGGCGTGTAGCTTACAAGCAAACGCAGAGGAATAATGAAAAAAGACTATATGAAAATGATAAAGACGAATAACATTAACATAAAATTCTAATAAATCTATGGACTGCGTTAGTTACTATGAACAAATGAAAATAGATAAATGTAAAGCAGATACAATATAGAGGACTCTTGAACAGAAGTGACTGAAGTGATTAATATCAAGATGCAAGAAATATGCAAAGATCGTACACAGTTGCAAGAGTTCAAAAACGAAAAGGACCAGCAAGAGGGAATAAATATGACTAAACACAAGAATACGGAGAAATATCAAAGTGACGGCCATGCGTGTGAGGTAGTAAAAAAAATTACAAGGGGTGTTGCAGCTTCCTCTTTTTTTTCTTGCAGTGTCTGATTTTAACTTATGCCATGCATGCATAATTTCAAAAGGATTGATAATTTTTTCACTCTTCATACTCGGTTCGATAACATTCAAGATGGAATTGTTCTATAAAGAGTTTTTAGCAAATTAAACACTGTAGAGCAATATCAGTCTCAGACATTTTATTAAATAATTTTCTCAATTCCTATAAAGTAACAAGACCTAGCATCTTATCCGTCTCCCAAATTTTGCAAAATATGCAAAAAAAGATATATACATATGCTCATAAAATAACCGTGTCCATCCAATAAAATTCAAATCGTACGACAATTTCTGACACTAAAGATACGACGGGTAGGCGTGCTATTTCTCGACTTTTCTTTCACATTTATATCTAATCTAGCAGAACACATCAAAAGATTTCCAACAACACCATTATTATTATTCTTAATCAGACCGAAATTAGCAACACGAAAAACTTCCATACCAATATATTCCAAATTAATCACTGCAGAAAAGTACAAAAATCAACTACACCGTGCGACATTTCCCCGAGCAAAGGTACGACATCGCGGGCGTGACGTCGGGCGACACCTGACCGGGCCCGAGTTAGTATCGAGGGCGCGATGGAGCGGCGAGGGTAGAGGGAGTTCCTTGTTCCAATTCTACTCCTTTTTATTAAGTTCCTGGATGACAGCAGGAGGATCAAGATGTCGGTCAAGAGATATTTAACCCCCGAACAGTTAGTGGGGTTTGAAAATTATAAGGTAAGGGTCGGTTTTGGGGTGCAAATTTAAAAAAAAATAATAAGTATTTCTCTCACTCGTGGACATGAACTTTAACTCGGGAGTTGGAGTCCCATGAAGGAGTGACTCTGGGGGCATTTTAGGACCATTTTTGGGGTATTTTGGCCACGGGAGTAGATTTCCGAGTGCTTCTAGACCGTTTTAAGTTAAGATGATCGATGGGAGTTACGTAGTTTTCATATAATTAGCGGCTTAATGCATTGGGTGATGACCACATTATCCCTCCTTGATTGATTTGCTTGCAGGCAATTTCCCGTCGCTTTGCATTTGCACGGGATTTCGTATAATTCCACACTACTAGTCTCTTGGGAATAGAATGGTTTATTGGTTCTGACGCTTGAATTTTGTAAAGAATTGTTGTACTCTTTTCCACAAAGACTGAAGGAAGAGGAAAATATTAATGTCAGTCTTGATGCATGTGAAAGCAGTTCTTGCACAAAAAAGTGGATAAGAAAGATAAGGCTCTTGCATGAAACACAGCCAGAGGAATTCAGGGCATCTGCTGTTCCGTAATTAATTAACTATTCTGTCTTCACGTTTTAGATTGCTGTAGTTGTGTTCTTGTATACGATAGACGTTTTGGGTAAGAGCTTGGATTGTAATAGTACTAGAAAAGAGGGCATTTATGTTGTAGAAAAGCCTAACATTCATTAATCCATAGAAATATATATGGGACTTTGTGTGGGTCGTAGGGTAGCCCAGTAGCTCTTTCAAGTTTAATTGCGAGAACCCTGCTATGTATACTGAGGCGAAGGACTTATTTTAGGAAGGAAGAGGGCTAGAACTCATATATGGGTAATGCAAAACATCTAGAGCAGATAAAGTTTAGACACTAATACTTGAGAAAAGAGATTGAACTGTATGACACTTCACAAATACATACCTTTTATTTTTTAAAGTTTCATGAATATTTCCCATGTGAGCCGAGATTATTGGTAGACTAGTCTTGCAAAATCCAGGATGGGATCTCGTTTTTATGTTGAGCGCTGAAAAAGTGTTACAGCAAGGTGCTAGGTAATGCAGTTGCATGCAGGGACATCACCAGGGGCCATTACCCCTACATTTTTTTTCTATCTTTCTTTCTTTTGTACCAGCTTTCTAGTTTTAGAAATTCTCAAGGCCCTAATCACTTTATCAGTGATATAACTGACTCAGATTAGCCTTGATTACCAGAAGGGTGTAAAGTTGATTAAAGAATTATTGGCAAAAAAAACAAAAAGAGTAACTGCAACATTTGGTTGTGCTTTACTGAAATAATGCAGTATTTGAGTTTTAATTGTTGGTAAGGGCAGAGCATTCTGTGTTTGTTTGTTTGTGCATGTCACCCATGTGTTCACATGTGTATGTACATGTATGTGAGTGTGTGTATGTTTATGTATATATAAGTATACACTGTGTGTGTGTGTTTGTGTATTTGTGTGTATGTTTGTTTGTCAGTCAGTCAGTCAGTCAGAGTAGATGTCTATGTATTTGTTTTGGTCTGTGTTGTTTCTTTTATTTAAAGAATATCACAATTTTGAGAATAACTATTGCAATACTGATATTGACCGATGTAAAAGTGGAACTTAGGAGATTAACCATAAATTAATTAGGGGTATAGTTTCAGTTTCCAGTAGCCCTGTTATATATGGTAAAATTTGCCTGTAATAGACAGAATGATAAAGAATAAGACACTTTTCATCTGTGTCACTATCTTCCCAAGTTGATAATAAGAAAGTTACGCAACACATAATACTTTGGTACATTTACAGGAAAATATAATGACACTGTAATAATCAAAGAGAAAAACTACACTCACTAATACATGACCTAATCTGGGTTGGCAAAAAATAATGTCAAAATTTAAGAAAACAGGTCACAACAAATGCTGCATAGAGGGTAAGTCTATGGTGATTGGGTGGGAGATCAGAGCCCCTGGGTTAAGAAGGGTTTTGGTTCATGCAGCTGTGTTTGTGAATTTCCCAAGATTGACTGGAGTAATAGGTACTTAATCTCAGAGCAGTAAGATCACTTCATAAACATTACCAATACTTAACACTTAAACATTATTTGCGACAGAAAATAACAAGATCTTCATGCATATTACAGTGTGAATAATTGAAAGAAGGAATAAAAATTACAAGATTAGATGGCTTTGTAAAACTAAAAATATACCTAAAGAGGAAGGGGTATGTCAAATATGGCTTTTTTCTATTAACCCAATGCCGCCAGAGAAAATGAATATAAAATGGGGAAAAAGGTGTGCTCGTTTTCCATATTTTTGTGAAATTTCACTGCACATATATGGCTCTGCTAGTGCTTAGCCACAAAGGAGTTATTTAGTAGACCTTGTGACCTAACATGATTTGAATTGGCGGAAAAAAAGTATTTTTTTACTAGCGCTATGAATATCTATGGTGTTATTTTTGTTATAAACGTTGTAATTACTATAATGTTATAAACATTAGTAACAGCAAAATAAGATAATGTAAAATATTTTTGTAAATCAAAGAAAAGGGTAAATGGGCGAGACAGGCAGTACTCGTAATTGGCTCGTGTAGTTTATGTGAAAAACCGTCAAACAAATAATCAGTGGGCATAGCACATACGTACAAGTAATACCCGTCGGCATTGGGTTAAAAGAGTACCCAGGGCATCTTCTTTAATCTCTGAATACCCCCAAAGTCTCTTTCATGATCCCACCTTCCCCAATCTGGGCCACTTTCCCAACACTCAATTCTTCTTAAGAAAAGCTTCCAGAAATTATTATATTTGACATAAGTGCATGGGGAGTATATAATGAATGAACTTGAAATTTAAGCTGAGAGATGGGGGGGAGGGGTACAAGGATTATTGATTGTTGCAGAGCTTGGTGTGTATTTGCTATGGGAGAAAGGAGCTATGTATTTGTCTTAACCCCTTCCCGACAGGCATGGCATTTACATACATGCCATGCCCACTGTGTGTTTAGTTGTTTGATAGTTTTTACACATAGATGGCTACACTTGTACTAAATCACCAATGAGCCAATTACAAGTACTGCCTGTCCTAATCTAACCTAAGTAATGTTTATAACATTATAGTAATAATAATGTTTATAATGAAAATAACAACATCAATATTCATAGCCCTAGTAAAAAGTGCACTTTCCTGCCAATTCAAGGAAAGGTGAAATAAGGTAAGGCAGAGCCATCTATGTGTAGAGACATTTCACAAAAAAATATAAAAAATGAGCACAGCATTTTCCCCATTATTTATTAATTTTCCCCGGCAGCAATGGGTTAATAGTATAAAGAACCATGGGTATCACAATTTTCAAAGGTACATAATTTTTTAGCAACCCCTGGTCTCCTAGAAAATGGGAATTATGGTCATACTTTCTTTTAAAGTATTTTGTTGTGTTGTAATTATCAAATCATATTATGTAAATTGCAAATGAAAGAGTAAGAGTAGATTTTCTGTCAATGACAAGATTATTTTCATTGACAAGATTCAGTATTATTTATGTAGTCTAATGTGATTATAGTGAATCTGCTATTCATTTTCTTTGCCAGCCTTTAGTTTCCAAGTAAGGAACACCACTAATCATCCTCATTCAACAGGCCTGGGGCATCTGTGGGTTATGGGTGAAGGGGAGACAGATTGCAGAAACACATTTGGTTTTTGCCCAACAGAAGCTAAGAAGTTAAACAATGTGATTTGGTTACAATATACCCACCCTCCCCCCGGCATTCAAGACATAAGCATGTATACACTGTCTAACAGCAGTACTCCCCACCCTCCTCTCCCCCACATGAGAGTAATCTGATATCAGTTGTATGTCTAAGTCAGATGACATTAGTCACTGGCCAAATAAAATGTAAAGATACACAGGTCTTAAGCATGTGAAAAGGAGCTTAAGAAATTGTTTGAGCAAAGTATTTACTGGATAACTTCTTAGATTTTCTAGAATACATATTGTTATGTTTGTAGGCTACATTATTTGTTTCAGGTTATTATATAAAAGACAGTTGCCAAACTGTCCTATTCTTCATTATTATTATTATTATTCAAATATAACTGATTTTATGATTTGGCAAATGGTAAATATGGTTTTCTTGGAAGTTAGTGATTTTTGATGTTTCATTTTGATTCACTCATTTTGAGCTTCAGTAATGGCTCTGGTTTAGGAGTTTCAAAGATAAAAAAGAGATAAACTAGATAAAGAGATGACTCCAGTACATGCCTGCCTAATTATGCCTACACTTTTTATTTATAATTATTTGTTTATGGAGTGAGGATGTGTTTGTGTGTTGAGTGTCTGAGTGTGCATGTACATGAGTGAGCGAGTGGCTAACCAAGCCAGTAAATGCCATAGAGTTTGCATAATCTTATGAAAGAGTCTCTTATTACAGTTTATTTTTAGCCAGCCTGTAACTATCACTTGTTCAGTGTTATTTGTTTGTGTGAGTACCATAGTTGGATTTTATTTCCTATATTGATTACAGTGGACATTCTAAATTCTAACTTGCTGGGAATGAAGTTTGATGGTCATATAGGTATTAATGAATATTTAGAAGAAAAAATAATGATAAAAGAAAGTCAATGTTAATATAAATGTTAATTTCTATATGATTCTCACGGACACCCTGAAGCCCATCCAAGGACCCCAGGTTTAATTTGACAATAGTACTGCAGGAATTATATATATGTTTTTGGTACGGAAAGGTTTCCACTTTGTTAGTGAATGAATTGCTTTGTTTATGACTCACCATAGAACCTGCAAACATGAATAAAGAAGTGGTAATGGAAACCCCTGGCTTTAGAGGAAGGATGTAAGTGTGCCAACATAATGTACTAATTATTAAAAGCTCTTCCTGTACTATAGAATGTGACTTTCCAGTAATTTTGTTTATTTGTGAATAGTGTTGTGACAGTATATGCAATGAATTTTGAGTTTTTCAATTCTCTATTGATCCTTAATTTCTGTATTTTTTATATTTAAAAGAAAGATACAATTGTTTAGTTATGAGTTGTGTACATACAAATGTTTGTGGGTGCAAAACACTGCCATGTTCATTAAATGGCATAGATAAGAATTCTAAAATGAGTTTGTGTTTATATAAACATAAGTTCCTTGTGTTATTCTATAGATTATTAGTCTTAGTTCAGGGATAGGAATAATGGGATATGCTAAGCCTATCAGGTAAACTATGCAAATAAATGAAGATCATTTATATGTTGATATATGCATTGTAACCAGTCGGACTATACAGGAAGTAATTGAGGAATAGAAAGAATGTTGTATAAATAAGGTTGAAAAGGAAATTTCTATTATGCATTAGGAAGTAGTTAGACCCAGTGTTGCAATATAATTCCTTTCGTCACCCAAACCCAATGCCATCGGGAAAATGCTGTGCCCGTTTTTAATTTTTTTGTGAAATATCTCTGTACATAGATGCTAGTGCATAGCCACAAAGGAGTCAATTAGTTGACCTTGTGGCCTTGCCTTTCCACCTTTCCTTGAATTGGCGGGGAAAAGTTTTTTATTATATTTTTTATAACTATGAATATCAATGTTGTTATTTTTATTATAGACATAATGTTCTATTACTAATATTGTAAATTTTCTTTCCAACAGTATAGTGCTCAAGATACCAGTCCTCTCAGCAATTATGTTATGCACCCGTTTTGGAACACTGTAGTGAAGGTAAGAATATTATTGGCCATTTATGATGTAATTTCTTTTTTCTTTTCTTTTTTTTCTTTCTTTTTTTTCTTGTCTCGTTGTTGTTCTCCTTTTTTTCCCCTCTCTTCCTCCTTTTTCTTTTCTTCTCCTTCTTCTCCTTCTTCATCACTGTCTTCTTTTCTGTTGCTATTCCTCCATGTCCTCCTCCTCCTGTCTCCTCTCTCTTCTCTCCCCCTCCAAATTACCAAGACTTCACATGTTTGATGGAATGATGGAAAAATTTCTGTGGATAGAACCTGACTTTCATATCAGTCTGAAGATTAGAAGAAATGTAATGTCATTAAGAGTTAGTTAGCCTGATTAGGTGTGGCTGTGATTACGTAAATGTGTACCTGCACCCTATACATTTGTGTGTTTATATGTATTTTTTCATTCTTTCTTTCATTTTCTCTTGTTTTATTGTGTATTCTCTTTTTCTTTTTCTTTTTTCTCTTTTTCTTTTTCTTTTTTTCTCTCTTTTTCTTTTTCTCTATTCTATTCTTTACCATCTTTTCACTTTCCCCCTTTGTAAAAGATTTCAGTGTGACTATGTTTTTCAAAATGAAGCTTCATAAGCCTCAAATATTTTCCAAAGTGCATTTGGTGTCATTCCAGTGGTTGGATGCAGATGATATGTTCCTTGATGATTTTGGTTCTAATTCATTTTATATTAACTTTTCCATTTGTATGTTTCAATGTAGGACTAGGGTGTGGGTGTGACTGTCATTTTGGGATGTGCACTAATTAGGAGTTAATGAATCTGAGAGCAGGTTTAGTTGTTTGGATGAACTATCACATGTAACAAGCTTTTTATTGATGTTGGAGTTATTATGATTTATTTATATTTGTCACTTTTTTTCTGAAATGATGAGTTATTAGTTTTGCACATGTGTGCATGTACCCCCCCCCCCTCCCGCCCACACACACACACACACACACACACACACACACACACACACACACACACACACACACACACACACACACACACACACACACACACACACACACACACACACATATTTCATCAAGACAGCAGTAATCTAAAATTTCTTACTCACTTAGCAACATAAAGTCTATGATAACTTTATCACACCACAGACATGTAATAAGTGTGAAAATCTTCAAAGCTGTTACCACCTCTTGCCATTTATCATAAAGAAGTAATAAATCTGCTGCCTAAATTATTTTTTCATCTTTCATTTATGTAGATTGATTTAAAAATCTCACCAGTTGAATATTTTAAATATAATGTGTTATATACAAAACCATGATTATCTGTTTGTCTAGAGAAGCAGGTTATCAAAGTATACTCCATCATTGCTGTATCACTGTTTGTCTGTTTTATCTTATCCAGAGTTCCAAGCTAGAGAATAATTAGTGGTAGAAGCTGTATATAGTTTTCACAAATGAAATTGCCAATCGTATTATCATGTCTCCTTGCTTTAGTTTAGACTGAAGCTATTGTGATAGCTTGTTGCTCTTATTCACAGAAGTTAAGTTTCATGTTACCTTGTGTATGAATCTTGAGGGAGAAGTTATAAGTTACTTAATTATTTTAAGGTATTCAGTTAAATATTTTCATTTCAGGACAACTGATAAGTGTTTTATTAAAAATCAAAAATGATTCCTTTGAATTATTCCTTCGTTCACAAGGGACATTTATGTATTTCTTCCATATTATATGTTTCGTTGAAGTTTTTGGGAATTTGTACATTTTTATATTTCACTATAGCTTACAGTAACCATTTTTTCCTTGCTAGTCTTTCTTTTACTATTATTGCCCATAATTCATTGGAATGGCATAATGTACAAAGGTATAAACATAACTTCTTTTTTTTTCCCCCAGGAATCTTGATTGAATCTTTATAAGGAATTTTGAGTAATTGATATTTCAACCGATTTTCCAGATATGTCCACGGTGGATAGCGCCTAATGTCCTCACATTTGTGGGTTTCCTGTTTACGGTGGCCAACTTTGTCCTGTTGTCCTTTTACGACTACAGTTACTATGCATCTAGCGTTGACATACCTCCTGGCACTGGCCCATACCCACCTGTGCCTAATTGGGTGTGGATAGTCTGTGCTCTCAATCACTTTCTGGCACATACTTTAGGTAAGTTTTGGGGGATTTAAGTGTAAGATTTTGTACTTGAGAATAATTATGGGTGATTGGATGGAGAATATGGTGTCATGTCTGTTGTGCAGTATTTCAACTGGTAGTCATCCATAACCCTCAAGCTTCTAATACTTGGCCAATAATTTCAGATGGGATAGATGGAAAGCAGGCACGAAGGACTGGCACGAGTGGGCCGTTGGGAGAGCTGTTTGACCATGGCCTGGACTCCTGGACCACGTTCTTCATCCCGGCCTGCATCTGGTCCATTTTCGGCAGGACAGACTATAGCATTAGCCCACTCAGGTTCTATTTCATTTTGTGGAATGTACTGTCCTGTTTCTACACCTCTCACTGGGAGAAATACCTTACCAAGATACTGTTTCTTCCGTGGGGCTACGATATATCACAGGCGGTAAGTATTTTCTGTGATTGTTATTTTTATCTCTGATTGTATGTGTGTGTATGTACATGTATTTTTCATTTTTATTTCCTTGTTCCTAGATCTAAATTCTTTATGATGTAATCATCTACCGCATACTTTTCATGACTTGCAATTAGGAATCAGTTTTTTAAATTTTGAGAAATTTTGTCTTGTTATATTTCAAGGGGGAAAATTTTACCACACTAGAATGTGTATATTTTAGTTTAATATGTTTCATGCTTGCTACACAGAAGTGCATCAAAGCTGAAAAAGAATAAACCATTGTTTTTATAGCTGGCCTATAGTGGTCAGACATAGGACTTTGTGGTGGTGCTTGATGTTTATTATGAATAGTAACAAATATGAATGCAGCAGTTGATGATCACTTGTATAAAAAAGATAAAATCATCTGATTTGTTTATTTATTTATTTATTTTTATTTTTTTTTATTTTATTTATTTATTTTTTTATTTTATTTTATTTTTTTTTTATACATAATGGTGTATTTACAATGGGAGGAGAGTAGGATTCCTAGGAGAAAGCTGGAGGGAATGAGATGGAGGGGCTGATAGACTGTACTTAGTAGGGTCAAGTGAGGCCAGAAAGGGTTGGAAAAACCAGCCTGTGTTTTTTTGATAACTTGCATTGAATTATGTATAAGTATCGTAAATAATGATCATCAAGTTATAGAGGCAAAGCAGATTTAATGTAAGTGATTATTTATTTTTTATTTATTTATTTATTTATTATTGATTTATTGATTTATTTTTATTATTATTTATTTTATTTTATTTTATTTTATTTTATTTATTTATTTATTTATTTATTTTTTTTTTTTATTAAATGTACTGATAGAAGGCTGAATGAGTAGTATGTTTTTTTATGAAGATGGACAAAGGGGCATTTACACCTAATACTGAGTAACAGAGAAGCATTTTTTTCATAGTGAATGGTCCTATCATAACTATAAATGATACTTGATTCAATTAGTCAGCTACATGCAAATTTAATCCAAGAAAGCTAGACAATAATGCTAAGGTTTTCCAATGGTTATCATTGATGTAGAGTTTGTAAGCTAAGGTTGTATCAAAGTATGGAAATATAACATTGCACTTATTTTTAAAACTGTAATCATACAGGCATGTATGTCGGTGTGTGTGTGTCTGTGTTTGCAGTGCAGGTATCATCCCTAATATATTTCTTTTCTCAAATAGCTAATCTTCGCCATATACTTGGTAACGGGAATATGGGGACAGCAAATATGGAAGTTCGAGATAGTACAGGGAATTTCTTCAGGGGCCATGTTCGAGTTCATGATGTATGCAGGGTCACTGGGCACCTCACTTCCAATGTCATTTTGGAATGTTTATAAGTAAGTAGTGTGCATGGATTGTTTACAGATTGTTCTTAAATCATGATCATCATTGTTGTTATTCTCATTATCATCAGTAACCGAATTGCTCTTCTTCAATGATATTTTAAAATATTTCATTGAAATTTGATATCTAAATGAGTTTGTATTCTGCATATTGTCATGATCACACTGAAATTGAAATAGATGTTACATTTAGTGGAAGTAGTGCTTGTAATCCTGTTTTTATGAATTAGTTTTTATGGTTAAGTAGTTATTGTTATTATTATTATTAATGCTTATTATTTATATTATTGTTGTAGGTTGTTGGTATTTTTATTGTTATAAGTATCTTCATTATTATTAATGTCAATCAACATCATTGTTTCTATTATTATTAATATTATTATTATTATTATTAGATATTATTATTGTAGTTGTAAGCATTATTGTCATTATTATTATTAATCCTATGAGTTCAGAAAAATAGGAGAGAACTTGTTGACTTCTGGAGAACCATCACCACCATTGTCATTGTTATTATTATTATTATTATTATTATTATTATTATAATTATGTTTATTATTTTTTTTTTTTTTTATTATTATTATTATATTATTATTATTATTTTTTTTTTTTTATTTTATTTTATTTATTTATTTATTATTTTTTTTTTTTTTTTATTATTATTATTAGATATTATTATTGTAGTTGTAAGCATTATTGTCATTATTATTATTAATCCTATGAGTTCAGAAAAATAGGAGAGAACTTGTTGACTTCTGGAGAGCCATCACCACCATTGTCATTGTTATTATTATTATTATTTTTTTTTTTTATTATTATTATTATTATTATATTATTATTATTATATTATTATTATTATTAGATATTATTATTGTAGTTGTAAGCATTATTGTCATTATTATTATTAATCCTATGAGTTCAGAAAAATAGGAGAGAACTTGTTGACTTCTGGAGAGCCATCACCACCATTGTCATTGTTATTATTATTATTATTATTATATTATTATTATTATTATTTTTTTTTTTTTTTTCTTTCTTTCTTTTTCTTTCTATTTTCTTTTCTTACTGTAGGTTTGTTTCTTTCTCAGTAAGGTAAGGATTAATTGACTTGTGCATATATTTTGATTGAGCTGAAGCTGGGTAGTATATAGACTACATCAACATTAGAATTTTATTTTGATCGCTAAATTAGTCATGTTGGATATATAGAAAGAGACATGGAAGAACATGTTAAAACAAAGAATATATTCATATGTTTTGTTTCAGATATTTTATGTTCTTCAGTATTGAGTGATTAATGATTTTTTTTTCTTTCTTTCTTTCTTTTTTTTTCTATTTTCTTTCTCTTCTTCTTTTTGTTAAGGATTTACAATTAAGGGGTAAAGTGATTAGATTGTTTGTCAGTATTTAAGCTTGTAGAATTGGTACAAAGATGTTAAGTGTATTTGATAAAAAGTGTCCACATTTAGCTAACTTTGTATTCAGTGCTGGTTTATTGACGAATGAATAGGTTCAAATACTTTTTACAAGGAGAAAAAAATTCAGAAAAAAATCTAATCTAATGGCATATTCTTTGCACATTACTGAGTTCTCTCTTCATGTTCTTCAGTGCCGGCTGATTGTCTCCCAGATGAGTAGCACAAGATGCGAGCTCTTGAATTGGCTTTTGTTGCCACTTGCTCTAGCTGTGGGGATTGCAATCACATTTCCCACACTGGAGTTGGCAACACTCCTGATCATGGGCAGCATTGCAACCGTTGCACACATCCACTATGGTGTCTATGTGGTGAGTATCGTGAGAAAACTTATGAGAAATAAGAATAAGCCTCGTCTCCATCTCCAATCTTTGTAGGGATTATGATTTTATTAATACACGTGTGATTTGTAAATTCCTTGTGGTTTTATGCTACTAAATTCATCCATTGATATTTCATCTTTCATCTCTATCCTTGCGTAACCACCCACATTCTTCCCCAGGTTCGTCAGATGTGCGATCACTTCCACATCAAGTGCTTCAGCATCAAAGACAGGACCGAATGATTGCTTGCCAACAGTGCATAAGGATTCTGCAGACAGTTGCCCTCTCAGTCATAGCATAAGTGGCGATTATGTTGATGGCAACCCATACTCATTTGTTCACAATGTGTGGAGTCGGTGCATATCAGATAAGTCCTCCAAATGACTTGCATATGTGGAAATATGGATACACGAACAAATACTTCTCTCTCTCTCTCTCTTTTTATTTTTTTTTTTTTTTTTTTATTTATTATTATTATTTTTTTCTTCTTCTTCTTCTTCTTTTTTTGTTTTTATCAAGGGATTTTTTTTATTTTTTGAATATAAAGGAAGAGGAGAGGAGAACACAAAGTTCCTCTGGGCTAGTTCAAAGTATTGGGATGAAGATTGAATGATTGTGATAGAATTCATTGAGGTACAGACATGTTGACAATATATCTCACTTTTATCTATAAAAGGCAAAAAGAATGCTCAACTCGTAGATGAGTAATATCAGATTACACTAACATAGTTGAGGGATGGATGTGTTATATCTCATGACATCCATTAAAACTTCAAGAATAATGTTCATGAGAGTAGACTGGTAAATGCCAGACATACCTGATGAAGAAGACAATAAGTACCTTAGATAGCAACAAAAAACAAAAAAACTATTTATTGTTATCTCCTTTATAGAGTAGTACTGCATAGAGTTCATGGACTGACGGCAATGATTCAACATCATTAACATTAATTGGCTTGCTTACTAGTATGCTCTAGTGACAGATGCTCGAACTCAGCCTCCCTAACACTGCTTTCTCTCCCTCACTCACTCCCATCCTCCCTTCCATAACTCCATACCCTTACCCCTTCCTCCCTTCCCCTCCCTTTCCTTACCAATCCTTCATTCCCTCCCAGTTCTCTCATCACTCCCTCCCACTTGTAACCCCTTTCCACTCTTGTCCTTCCCATTTCCATTTTTTCCTCCCTCACATCCCTCCCAGCTTTTTATCCTTGGGAACACACCTCTTATGTAGCCGTAGAAAAGGTATTCAGGTCACATAGTACCGGGTGTGATGAGGGGGAACTCTATACCTCTCCTCATCATGTGTTGCTTTGTGCCTTGAGTTTTGTGTCTTGCAGATTATTGGATGATTTAAGGTGCAATACTTCATGGATTTATGGTTATAGATGTTCCTTTTTTGACATGTTGAGAAAAAGAGGGTAAAAAAAATGAGGTAGTCCAGATAACAGTGATGATTATTTATTGATTCCTTTTAATTTTTTGTCTTCTTTTTGAGTTCAATTTTTTCATTTCATGTGCTCACATTTGTATGTACTATCCCTGCATGATTATAGCACAGACATGTAATCATACACATAGACACAGAGTAAACCAATGCATTCTGTATTCTTGCTAAAACTTTCCCCTACATTATTTTCTTTTCAATTTAGCTTTTTTTCAGTAGCCATTTGAACACAAATCTATCTATGTATATCACTCCATCCATCCATATCTATATCTGTCTACCTCCACATGTCCTTTTTCCTTTCATCTTTTTATTTTTTTTATTTTTTTATTTATTATTATTTTTTTTTAAAGATCTGTTTTGATGTACAAAGTTTCTATACTTTGACTGTTGACATGACTCTCATAGACATTTTATTTATTTGTTAATTCACATTTCAACTAAAAATAAGATTCTCATTTTATAAAACATGCTCTTTATTATAAAGAGGTTATTTTCACCTTTATTGCATTACAGTAGTTTATTTTAATGTGGAATAATTTATTAGATACAATGTAATGATGGAAGTATTAATATTGGTAATAGTGTGCAGTATTTAAAGTAGTGCTGTGGATGCTGATGGTATGGATCAGCAGATTACAATATGAAGCTTTTTTATTGTATCTTTTTGTTGAACTGTGTTAACAATTTTTATCCATGCCATCATGAAATGGGAGGTCTTAATTAGTACAATCAATAGGTGTACATTTTTCAGGTAAATGTTGCCAAGATATTGTTGTTGTTTATGTTACAGAGTATAGAGGCAGTTGTTAACTGTGCAGCTCTTGTAAAACATAAATGGATATCATACCTTTTTCAACTGAATGCTGAGACAGTAGGTTTACTAGCCAGAATTGACAACCATGACTTTAGTTAAAATATGAGATTACCAGAAACTGTAAGATTAGGTATATAAATAGCTGTGCAACTTAGGACAACATTATTGCAAATCACCACATCAGCCACCAAGTATTAGAGTGGGGGCTGGCTGTCTGGCATTGACACCAGCTTTGTCTTACACCAATTGCCTGTTCTTCACTAGCAGCTACTTCAGACTTTGCTAATTCGCGGACGATCTTGTGCGAATCTTTTATGGTAATGATTGGAGAAAAGATTCAGATAGCCTCTTTGAGATTGATTAGCAGTAATTAGTCTTGTGTCTACTGCATTGTTTGCCTGTATGATGGTACTGGGTTAATGGCATGTACAGGAATTCACTATTTACAATAAACACCCTCACTGGAACTTTACCAAACTGTGTATTACTAACATTCCATGGCCTCCTTTGCATGCTTTATGGTGACTGCCTAATGCTCCTTCTTTCTTTATAATGATTCACTGCTGCTCAGATCTGTGTGTGTGTGGGGGGAAATGTGATATAAAATTGGGAGATCTCTTATCAGATGCATTTTATGGTGAGTATGAAATCTAAAAGCTAGTTGTGAATATCATTATTTTTCTTATTGTAGATGGAAATTTGGAGAATAGTTTTTTTAAGACATGAGATGAAAATGTTAAAGAATGTAAATAATCAAATATTTAACATTTGAAAGATTGGTTAAATTATTGTTTACTTTGAAGTTTTATTGCTCATCTGTTAACATACTTTGATTTTGTTCAACTTTCATTTTCTTAATTTATTTTTATTGTTGTTATTTAATTTATTTATTATATATATATATTTTTTGTCTCTCTCTCTTCAGTTTTAACCTCACTAGATTTATCACAATTATTCATCGTTGGAATTAATTTTTTTTTTTTTTTTTTATCTTTTTTTATTCCCATTTAAGTCACTCTTCACTTATTATTATTATTATTATTATTGTTATTATTGTTATTATTATTATTATTGGTTTGTTGTTGCTAGTGTTGTATGATGATCGCAAGAGCAACAGCATATCCCTTGCCTTCCTAAGAAGTATTCGTAGTCTACATCTGTATCCTTAAGCAGGTTGTGAAAGAAAGCTCTCCATCAGGAGGTCCAGATGATTCATAGAATCCTGGTTTTACAACAGAAGAGGAAGAAATGTACCAAAAGTTGTGTTCAAGAGTGATGGAAGAGGGCTCTGCCTAAAAGGCCTGTCCACACAAGTAGGCGTAATCAATAGGCACAGCAGTGGGCACCTGTAAAGGTGATGTCACAGGTGAGAAAACAATGGGAAACTACTTGTTTACTAAGTAATTTGCCTGTCACCTCTACCCTTGCCCACTTTTGTGCCCGCTGATCATGGCCACTTGTGTGGATTGACCTTTAGAATCTGCAGTTTCCTGTGTACTGTTGGGGATCTGTATACCTGACCAGATTTTATAAGGCTTAGTCACACAGTCACTGTGTGATCTGAATAATTTTGCTCCGTAACTGAATATCACAAAGTTGAAGATAGCAAAATCATATCCTGAAAGCATGATTTTCATTTTAATCTAGTTTGCTTGTGTATGATTTCGTGAAAAAAAAAATCATCATTCTCTCTCAATCATTTTTTTCCTTTTGATTCCCTATTTTTCATGTACACAATTATTGATATTCAATATGTAGAATTGATAAGTGAGTCATGAATAATAAAAGCTTTTCTCTTTTCATCAAAGTACAATTTTGATAAATTTGTAGATTTTAGATCTTACTTCCTCTTTTTCTTTCTTTCAAGGTATGCTTTAGTTATCTTCTCAACTTCATATCAAGTGTTTATTTTGCCTTTTTTTTCTTCTTTGTAAAAATGTTTGAATAATATTTATTTTCTGAGAAATTTCTAGATGTGAATATATACATTGACAGACTTCCTGTGATTTGTTTGATCATTTACAGAATGTGACTGATAGTATTGAAACAGAGTAAACCACACATCACTCTAAAGTAAATTATTACAGACCCACTAAACTGTAAACAATATTTTGAGTCCACTCTGCACTTACTACTGTGTACTAAAAGTTTCACTACACGTCATTGCATTTTGTAGATTGTTGTACAAGTCAAAGGAAGGGAGATTTTCATTAGAATGGACATAGATTGAAGACAGTTTTTTTTTCTGTTAGTGTATTTGTTCCTAATGTTTTTGATTATACTGTAGTTGCTTATTTGTATTATCATTATTACTTAATTTTTTCCATGAACTACAAGTGTTATTATTATTTTTATCATTATCTTTTTATGCTTATAATTGGTATTTTTTTGTGATTGTTTTGCTTTTATTGATATTACCATTATTTTTTGTATTTTAATTTATTAAACAAGATGGTAACGCTGTTCGGAAATCTAGAGATAGCATGTTAATTTAGGTAGCTTATATTAAGCTTTCTCCTTTTGACACAATTTTCCTGGAGTTCGTAATAATTTTTTTCATGTACACAATTATTGATATTCAATATGTAGAATTGATAAGTGAGTCATGAATAATAAAAGCTTTTCTCTTTTCATCAAAGTACAATTTTGATAAATTTGTAGATTTTAGATCTTACTTCCTCTTTTTCTTTCTTTCAAGGTATGCTTTAGTTATCTTCTCAACTTCATATCAAGTGTTTATTTTGCCTTTTTTTTCTTCTTTGTAAAATGTTTGAATAATATTTATTTTCTGAGAAATTTCTAGATGTGAATATATACATTGACAGACTTCCTGTGATTTGTTTGATCATTTACAGAATGTGACTGATAGTATTGAAACAGAGTAAACCACACATCACTCTAAAGTAAATTATTACAGACCACTAAACTGTAAACAATATTTTGAGTCCACTCTGCACTTACTACTGTGTACTAAAAGTTTCACTACACGTCATTGCATTTTGTAGATTATTGTACAAGTCAAAGGAAGGGAGATTTTCATTAGAATGTTGTTAATAATTTTTAAAAAGTATTAGCTCTCACTATGCTAAAATTTGATAAGGCTTGCATTAGATTTAAAATTAAGTGTACACACTATTGCAATTTTTTTCTTTGTGATACATGGTGCTAATATCATTTTGTATCCTGAGTTTTGTACGACAATATCCTAAGTGGATTTCACATAATCCTTTCATGAAGTATTGTGTGTAATTCCATAGTACATAGGTACATACCTGTATGTAACTCATTCACTTTGACACTAGTGCAGTGAACAGAATCCCTTAGCACTTGTAGTAGAGAAAAAGATTTCTATACCAATCTAACCAAATAACATGTATGTAAGCTGTTTTCAAGATTGCTCTAGTCAAAGTTATTTGACTGATACAAAGGAAAGTCCCAAGACAAACTAATGACTGCAGATTCTCATGTATGTGTTTGGATTCAATCAGGTCAAAGTGCATAATAGATCAGCAGTCTGATTACTCAGTCCTTTATAGATATTGTAAATATATTACCAATTCGTGATAGGTGTTCCTATGATAGTTTTGTTGGATCCTGAGGGTTCAGTGCCCATAGTTTGTATGATCATTAAAGAATACTTGCTCAGATGTACTGAAATAGCTATCAGGTCTCACTTTGGGTGATAGAATGGTAACTAAACTGCCTGCTTATGCTTCCCCCAAGAAAACAAATGTAACAGAGATAGTGGGAAAACTTATTGTAAACTGATATGTGTCATCCTTCACTTCAGACAACTAGTTAAAAAAAGGTAGAATAATCATAACATTAAGGCTCATTTTAACCGGAAACCATTCTTGGTTTGTGCATTTCTTAGAAAAAGTATGAATGAAATGATTGTTATAGCATTTTTTTTTTCTCTCTCTCTTTTTTTCCATTCAGCTTTATTTGGAATAAAAGATTATTCACATTAATCTTCATGTCTTTCACATGGAAGATTGAATTCTTGTTTACCTCAAAAAGCCCCTTTCAAAGACTCAAGATTTTTGGAACTAGTGAATGAAAGGGAGTCAGTGTGTGAAAGCAGTTTGACATATAGCATAAAGACAGAAGTCTTTATTTATTTCTTCTTTATTTATGTTCTAAATGGAGGTGTGCTTTGCTTTGTAAAAAGTGTTATTTAATGTAGATGATGTGTAGATTGAAGATAGAATTTTGTCCTTCAGTTTCATAACATGACTTCAAGATACTCCTTTCACAGTATTAGTATTTACATTTCATTAAAAAAAAACAAAAAAAACATGAAGAGAAGATCTTAAAGTAATGATTCGAACATTGTTTGATTACAAATGGAAAGAAAAAATGGGAAATAAACTGCCTTGCATTTAGAAAAAAATGCATTTCATTAAGACAGAGTTAATTGATAAACTTCTTGGAAATTGGTTTATTGTTAAGTAAAATAGACAAAAGTAATTTTTGATGTGAGATATGTTTGTTTATATATTTTTTTTATATATATATATTCAAAGAGCTTATTCAGTTTCATATAAGTATATTGTACAAATGCAGTGTACGTTATTGAAGGTCATGACTGTAGCTGAATAAATGTGGGTTGAATGTGATAGTGTTATTATTGTTTTCTATTCTTTCTTTTTTTGTTTTGTTTTTGTTTTTGTTTGTTATTAATTGTCAGTGAATAAATTGGACATTGTGTATTATGTAACAGTATACAATACTACAAGTGTAGTGGTGTATGAAATGGTCAGTGAAGTAGAGAATTAGTGCTTTCTGTGTTCCTTCAGTATATGTTTCAATTTGTTTGATTTAATTTTAATAAGTATAGAATAAAGTATATTTGGTGTTCATTTTTCCCTTATTATATGCGTTCCATCAAGAGTCGAGGAAGAAATTTCTTTTTTTATGCAAGTGAAAAAGTTAAAAAGGAGCAGTATAAGATATCAAAAAAAAAAAAAAAAAGGAAAAAGAAAAAAAGGAGAAATAGGAAAATAAAAATTCAGGAAATTACATGCATCAGATTTTGTTGCTAAATAGGGATTTCCCCCCCCACCCCAAATATGCTTTGATATCATCATATGTGCATCATTATATTTTGCAGGAAATATGACTACTTACCTTATTCTTTATGGATGTTAGGACTTGCATTCATGTATATAACATGTCACATTTTCATTTTTTTTTAGATACCATATGCAAAAGAAAGTCGTTTTTAAATATATTTTGGCTTTTTATTTCACTCTTCGTGCAATTATGGGTGTCAGAGTCAAATGAAAAGAATAATATATGAGAAAATACAGGAAATATACAGTGCAAAGTAAGAAATTCCAACTTAAATGAAAAAAGAATATATATGTATATATTACTGAAGTGTTTGATCTTTTTCCTTTACAGTTGTATTTATTTTCTATTTTTTAAGTGAAATGTTACACTTGCGATAAAAGATAAATATGATTCCTTCAGCCTTTCAAATAAATTACTCACACTGCGTGAAGCCAGACAGGAAGCACGTCGACGTGGATTCTCTCTTACTCCTTACTCCAGTAATACTGCTCATCCTAACACTTCTCCTAAACCCACCCCTCCTACATCTAACCCCCCCACTAACCCCACCTACCTTCCCCAGTCAAACTCTTTTGCCATCCTAAATCCAGAAACTCCAATCTCTACTACAGATACTCCAATCACCACTACAACCCCAACACCTTCCCCTCTCCCTCCTCGCACTCCCCGTAACAGACAGAACAAACGTTCCACCCCCTCTTCCCCTACCACACAATCACCCCCACCATCCTTTGCCCGTACTCTTGAGACACCAGTCCTCTCTTCCCCCCCTCACAAGAAATCCTTTATCCCCCAAAACTCCCCAACCAACTCCACAGAAGAAACTATTGAAAATATTCAAGATTACTTAATGAAAACCGACACTCAACCTACAACTCCTGCTCCTTCCACACTCCAAGTAATTGCTGATATCCATCCTCCTCCTAACGATATCCCCCCTACACCCTACCCTCCTACCCCCTCCCAACACAGCCCATCCCCCTTGACCCTGCCCACATTAACTCTCCCACCATCCCCTCTATCCCTTCCACTCCCTCCTGGATACACACGTGAATCCCTTATGTCACAAGTATCCCCTTCCTCAGACCCTCCATCTCCTACTACCCCTCCTGATAGAACACCAACTCCCACACCTCTCCCATCTCAAACCTCTCAGTCCTTATCCCACCCTATAGCTGCTTCCCCTTCAAATTCTCCAACACGTACTACAATCTATATCACTAAATCAACGAAAGTATAACTATCCTTCATTGGAATATTCGCGGTTTCCGCTCCCACAGACCTGACCATCATATCCTTTCCTCTTATAACCCATCTATTGTATGCCTTCAAGAAACCTTTCTTATGCATACCCTTTATCTAATATAACACCTGACCTTAACCCTTTCACTCACTAATTCCTTTGCCCAGCTTAGACAACTAATCACTAACTCAACCACCCTTCACTAACATTAACTATAGTGCTACATGACCTTAGATGTCTAGCACATTTATCTTGCTTTTAACCATTAACCATTAACCATTCAAATAAATTATATTTATTTCTCAACCCAATGCCGCTGGGATTTTTTTGTGTGTGGGTGTGCACGCACATGTGCGTGAAATGTCTCTGCACATAGATGGCTCTGCTAGTGCTTAGCCACAAAAGAGTCAATTGGTAGACCTTGTGACCGTACCTGATTTCTCCTTTCCTTGAATTGGTGGGAAAAACATATTTTTTGCTAATGCTATGAATATTGATTTTTTATTTTTATATATAGATATTATGTTTACTATAATGTTATAACATTAGTAACAGCAAAATAAGATAATGTAAAATATTTTCATAGATCAAGGAAAAGGGTAAACGGGCAAAACAGGCAGTACTCGTAATTGGCTCATTGGTGACTTGGTACAAGTGTAGCCATCTATGTGTAAAAACAATTCATAAAGTAAACTCTCAGTGGGCGTACCCCCCCACTCCCTTGCCCATTGTTGTTGTGGGGGGGCTTAAGAGTAAAGACTGGGACCCAATGCTGGGGAACTCTCCTGCCTTGGGACTCGGCCCTCGACTCTACTAATTTTGCAAGGTCTTTTCCCCTCCTACTTTTTCGTTTCTGTCCCTTTCCTAACCCCTTCTATCCACTTCCTAAGGTGTGAGAGCTATGCTGAAAGGATGAAAGGTTGACTTTGTGCAAGTTCTGAATAGCCAGAGGGAGCCATGGGCACGGTATTCCCCTGTTTTCCCCCCCAATCCCTTGCCCGTTGTTGTCGTGGGGGGGCTTAGGAGGCGGAGACTGGGATCCAATGATGGGGAACTCCCCAACCTTGGGACTCAGCCCTCGACTCAACTAATTGTGCATGGTCTTTTTTTCCCTTCCCACTTTTGTTTCTGTCCCTTCACCAAACCCTTCTACTATCCACCTCCTAAGGTGTGAGAGCCGTGCTGAAAGGATGAAAGGCTGACTTTGTGCCAGTCCTGAACGGCCTGAGGGAGCCAT